AATAAAGGATGTTGGTGTATCGTTGGCGTAGGGTGGACTCAGCAGTGTTGGGAGGAGGGGGGGGGGGTGTGGGACAAAAATATAGGGCAGGGGGCGCGGGGGGGGCGGCGCGGCGGGGGCCGGTCCCCGGGCGGGGCTTGGGGGGTGGGGGCGGCGGGGGGGGGGGGGGGGGGGGGGGGAGAGGCCGAACATAATAATTTCCCCTTTGAAGCTTATTTCTTAGCACGCCTCCTGATAATTATTGCACAGTCCTTAAAGTGAGGTAATCAAATTCTTGGTCTTAGAAACGCTAGGACGCTAAAGCAGAATTACACCGTTTTGCAGTTATTCCTCAGTAACCATCCGTTCCTTCGCTTTGATTTTTATGTTTTGTTTTGCTTTTATTATCTTGGAAACCGCAGGCGGTATTCGTTTAGGAGGGAAAATAATAATTTAGGCCAGTAAACTAGTAGTCTCATGAGTAGTCTCCTACACAGCCGTTCTTGTGTCGTCACGCAACGCTCCTCCCCACAAGCCCGTTAGTGGGGAGAAGCTTTGCGTGACAACACAATGAGTGGCTTTGTTGCAGACCAGTGAACTACAGTGGAACCCCGTTAATGCGACCACCGTTGGGCCATAAAATCCTGGTCGTAATAACGAGGTGGTCGCATTAATGGGGTCTTCAAAATAATAAAATGACTCAATGGTTTTTACGTTTGGTTTGAAAGAATATAGCCGTAATAACGAGGTGGTCTTATAAACCGGGTAGTCGTAAGGCGGGGTTCCACTGTAATAATGAAATCTCTTCGAATGTCACTTTTTCCTCCGATCCAGCGAAAAAAAAAGTATATGAGAGAGACTTATTCGTTTTGTTTCTCTGCAAGAGTTGCATAGATGAACATCATCAGTTTAAGGCTCATAGCGTAACTCCTAAATTTCAAGAAAGGCTGAATGAAAATGGAGTTGTGTAACAACAGCTGGGTGAAAAACGTCTCTGAACATCTACTTGTTCCAAGGAGAAAAACACCACCATCTCATTTCAAGGTTGGAGGAATAGGTTGGAGTTCTTCAGTGAAATATTAATAAAAGAAGCGTCAGATCTCGACTAAACTGAACACAAATTTGGTTTAATTTTATTCATGTTTTTTGAGGCACGCTTTCAAAAATTCGGCTAGACGTTGGCCTGAAATCCTGTCTTTTAGAAGAAGGCGGCCACCTCGAGCCAACCCTCCTAATCTCGCCTCATTTCTGCTCACCCGTCATCATTCACTGATATCTTCTAGCCGAATTTATGAAAGCCGCACCAGCTGGCAACTCTCGGCCACACAGCTTAACTTCATACGTCATACGACATAGCTCAATAGGTAGGATGCATTTTAAAAAACGTCAATATCGGACTCAGTATTTAATGAATGATTCGTTTTTTGAAAGTAACGCCTGTTAAAAGCAGGATTGTAGACTAATTGAGGTTGAAGGCAACGCCTGTTGGTTTTTGTTTTTGTTTTTTCCCATAGTTTTTAATGAAATAAAATAAAAAAAGAGAGGCGGTTACAAAAAAATAAAGCGGGCGGGGACGAACTGAAAAGACTTTTTTTAAACTTGGCTTAAGGTGGCTGAACACAGTTTTGGCAGTTTGTGACTCTATGTCATTTGCCAGATTATTGCAAGAGAAAGGTTGCAGCTCACAAGCTGAAAGTTGGCAAGTGAAAAATATACTGATGAAAGATTTTGTAGACAGGTAAATGTGACGTTTTTGTAGTTTCCATGGCAACACGAGCGATTGAATACAACTTTAAAATTTCACTATTGCTCAGGGGACTGGGAAGAAGGGAAAAATTGAGGAGGTTTGGAGAGAGGGCAATGGACCTTTTCCCTTTCAAGCTTTTTTCGGCCTCTCCCTCCCCCCACACCCCTTTTTGCGCCTCCCACTGAGGCTAGAAAGTAAAAGCAGGATGAACAAAATTTTATTTGCCGGGCGAGGTATATGTTGGGGTGGGCTCTAAAATCAGGAGCCTAGCAGGCTCATGCCATGTCACTTTTTACAAGCGCAGAACGACAATTATTTTTGGAATTTCCGGTCAAGGGTTTGGGTTCTCGTTCCCCCTCCCCCTCCCCTTTTTGCGCCTGCAACGCAGGCAAGGGAATCCCGGGGAAAATGATGTTCATCGTCACTTGTTTCAAAAGGCTAAGAATATAATATATACCTACTCCATTTCGCCAGCTAGGACCAGCTGCAGCTATTCACTCAATACGGGAAAAAGTGTTGTACGGTCAACTTACTCTTAAAGGACACCTCCTTAAGTCAGTCCATGCAATTTTTCAGTCATTGTATTGTACCTATCCTCTTTATAGGACAGACACCTCTATGAGACGGACTACTTGGATTGTGAATGACTAGTTAATAGCGGAGCTCTCGCGAGCGCGAAGCGGAGCATCATGGGTAACAAAATTTGGTAAACTATCCATCCGAGAAAATTTGGTTATGACGTAGCGTACGCCGCCCGCCCAGCCGTTCACACAGTTCATGTAAGCCTATGTCAAATGTCACAATAGATCTTGCACAACTTGACTAGCCAGTTATGTAAGTCATCCGTATAAGTACGATTAGATTGATAGCTGTCAAAATCAGACATCCGATGACAATTATCACATGACCATCTCGCGGGCTCAGATGAAAGACCAGTCGTTTTGCCCCTACATATAAGCTGATATAATATGTCACACTTATCGGTTCAAAATAAAAACCAAACTACGCCGGGCAGGGCTGTCAGTCGGCTGACAGTCGTTTAAAGTTATATTGGCAAGCCAAATAAAAGTCAATTGACAGCTGTCAAAATGGGACATGTGCAGACCACTATCAAAAAACTAATAACCTGGGCTCAGGCTCGCTCAGGTACACGATCTGGCATTTTCCACTACAAGCCGGACGGATATGTCTTACTCACACGCGTAGTTTGTTAATTCGAATATTCGCCATTCTAATGAAGGTTAATTGACAGCTGTCAAACTAGAGTATACGCTGACCATCATCA